ATATATATATATATATATATAAACAAATCACTGGTTGTACACCAGAAATGAACACATTGTGGATCGACTGTACACCAATAAAAATAAACAAGTATATAAATAAAACTTAAAAAATTTTTTTAAAATGGAAGTGAGGAAGTCTTTATCCAGTTCATGAACGACAATAGGAGATACTAGCAAAATACACAAGTTGATTTTCCACGTTAAGATTATGGGTCACTAAGGAAGCGAAAAGAACACCAGCATTGCCTTCTGTAAAGAGGGTTGGCTTGGAGGTTTCTCTAGGACTGATTAACCCAAAAGTACTTTATTAAAGGTCCACAAAGATTAATGTTTTTAGACATTTGGGAAATGTTAAATTGATCACAAAATTACGAAGCCATGGTTAGTTAGTAACCGTTGGATGGTTAACAGAACCAACCGTTGTTAGATGGTGAAGGAGAAACGTCCGTCTCCCTACCTCTCACCTAGTCCTTACCCGCCCCGAGCCCCCGCTTCTACCTCCTGCTTTATTCTTCCATGATGTCATCTCAAGTCAAGTGTTACCGTGTGTCGCTCGCCTTCTCTACGGCAGGACATAGATCATCCCCTACTCTGTTTTTACTAGAAGTGTTGTTATTTTTAACTCTCCATTGAAGTACGGCACACTTCTGACCCCTATGGGTCTCTTTTCTCCCTCATCCAAGGGTAATAGCACCCTGAACTCTAACATCATAGAGGACTGTTGCCTGTTTTTGCGCGTGTTCTTGTGTGTCTGGCTTCTGTCACTCAACATTAACTCTGCCGTGGTGGCTCATTCATCCTAATTTGTGTGTCAGATGACATTGGTGAACAGATCACCGTTATGTGCTCATTCTACTTTTGATGGACACTTGGATCATTTCCTGTTTGGAGCTATTGTGAATGGGGCTACATGAACATTATAGTTCATGTCTTTCGTGGAACTCCATTTATGGGCGTGTTCAGGTCTTTACCCGGGAATGGAATGACCGTGTCATAGGAGCTGTGTATATTTGGCTTTAGCCATTTTTGAAAGTGGTTGTACCATCCTCCAGACTTTTAATAAGGCTTCATCTTCATTATAAAAGCCTTAACATAACAGTTGGTCTAGTGTTTCCAGCAGAAGCAGACCTAGAACTCAGAGCTTCTGATTCCAAGTCCAGTGCTTTTCACACTCAGTAAATTCTCAGCCCTTCATGCTACTTTCCTCTCTCCAACACTTCACTGCCTTTCTCCTTTAATGCCACTCGGATGCCTGGACAGCTAATGGTTCATGGACTATTCTCCTCAGGGTATTTTTGCCTCAAAGAGGGTCAGTGGAGACTCCAAATAATAAATCCAATGGTGGGACTTTCAGTTTCCATAAAAGCTCAGTCCATAGGAAAGGATGGGAAAGAGGAGAGAGAGAGCATTGCAGTCGGAGGGAACTGTTCAAAGAATCTCTCGGGTCCAGAAAGACCGGTGATGTGAACAGAGCCCTTCCTGATGAAACACAATAGGAAACAGAAAGCTCATCTTTTACCATCTGAACTTCAGAGCAAACACCTTGAAAAGCTATTAAACTCTCATTTCTCCAAAGCGATACACCAGAACCAAAGGAGAGCCTGAGCGGTCCGATTGACCCACAGTCCTCTGCTTCTCCCCCCAGGAGGCCCTGAAACAAAATCTGCTGCTGGTTTCCTGAAGACCGTACTGAGCCCAGGGCGTGAAGAAACTGAGCAGAAAAGACTGAGAAAGATGACAATGGAACTCAAGTCCAACCTCCCAGCAGCGCACTCAGGCGTGCCTCTGTCCCCGTGTTGTAATTAAAGAGAATGATTTTTACATATTTAGATATTTTTCTATTCATCCTGGTCTGATGCCCGAATTTGAATGCAGCTGAAGTGAAGGGTATTAATTAGTTGTGAATCACTCTGATACTTGAATATAAGGCCTCATGAGTCGAATGTGCAAATTTATGTAAAAACAATGTGAAAATTAGAAATGCATTGGCACATTTTTTTTTAACCAGAATTGTAGCACTCTGTCGAGTCAAACAGACTGCTCATTTGCAAGTTGTCTATATGCAAAGCATGCTGCCCCTGGGAGCCTCAGATCTCCTTAGCGAGTCGTCTGAAATTCGAGACGGGCTTTGTTCTGACCCTGCTTTGTCTCTGACCCCTTTCTGTCCTGCGGAGGAAAGGCTCAGTAACGCTTGCACCTGGCGACCCCACGCTCCCCCAGAGCACGAAGCCCATCCCAGGAAAACTCCCAGTCCTTCCTCCCAACCCACTGGACCCCAATTTCCTTTCCAGACCAGACCTGATGAAGGCAGAGGCTGTCTGCGGGGAGGTCCTGGGCTAGCTTTCAGGTGTGATGTTGGAGGTTAGAGCAGGGTAGCTGCTTGGAAAGCGGACCCACGCTGCGTCTTTGTCAAGGTCGCATTCTGCGCTTTGCACCCCCACCCCCCGAGGGGCGCCTGGGGAAGCAGAGCCAGCGCTGCAGGTGCCAAGGTGAAGCAGCAGGGGGCGCACTCAGCTCAGCTGCCCTTGGCTGGCTGGCACCTGAGCAGACAAGCGGGCCAGAGGTCAGGAGACGCTTGGAGCGAGCCAGCAGGGCCGGGCCGGGTCATTCCACTGCTAGGAGTGGAAGGGGAGCCCTTATGGGAGGCAGCTAGTCATTTAGCTGTGGGAGTGGGAAGGGTGATCAGAGAGAGGGGGCATCTCCCGGGAACTGGCAGGCAGCCAGATGATGGTCGCCCACCAGGCGAAGCAAGGCAGCGGCAGAGCTGACGGCTGACGAAGAACGCTGCCGGGACCGTCGCTGCCCCAGCAGTGAGCTGAGTCGCTGTCACCCTTTCAGGACGTGGCTCAGGGTCTCGCAGCAGCTGGGACACTTGACTCAGCTGACGCCTCTGCTTGGTGGCGCCCCTGCTGCCCACAGCTCGCGTTTACGCAAGTTACGAAAAAGCTTAATTTCCCCCATCGAGTTGCTCTGTAAACGCTCTTTTCAGTAGGTTCTTCAAGAGGTGAGTGACCAGTAAGTTCAAGTTTCACCAGGCTTGGGAGCAACTGTCGTCACGCTGACATCGGTGTTCCGAGACGGGATGCTCCAAGCACCGGCCAGGGGGGTCAACATCGTCACCGTGAACTGTGAGCTTGTCGGAAACGCAGACCTCTGGAGCCCACCCCCGACTTCCAGACTCAGAGCCTGTGATTAAATTGAATAATACATTAGAAATTGTCCTAAAAATTATGGATCGTGATCAAAATACTCAGCTATTTTCTTAGGCTGCATCCTGACTCAATCATTGAATTATAAACTCCTGGGAACAGGAAAGATCTCTCCTCTACCTCTTTTTTTTTTTTTCACCTTCTCAGTACACTGAGTACAGCGTTCTGCCCATAATAATTTTGACCATTTGACAGATAACAAAAAGCAACCTCCCTGGAAACCTCAGCTCGCACCCCCTTCCAAAAAATTTCTAATTTCAATTCCTGACTTCAAGCACAAAGAGCTGCTGTCACTTTGACCTAATCTTCTGCAGCTCATCCCTCTGAATAATTGTGTTGCCTCTCTCCATGAAGCACTTTGTTACTATGGCGACGCACACGTAATTGTGTGTGTGAGGAATTGAGGGTGGCTCTCCCTGTCAGACGCCTTCCCACCAGACAACACGGAAAACATCCTACCCTTCTGCGTGTTACTGTCCCGTAGGTTGGCATCAAGCCCCTACAAGTTTCTCAAACTGAAATATTCTTTATGGACACTACAGACCAGTACAAGCAGGCAGCTTGATACAATAGGGAAATTAGTGAAGGAGGAAACAGGACGTCAGTGCTCCAGCTCAGAGTCTGATACTTGGAAATTTGACTTTGTCACAAGTCACTGGACTTCTCAGGACCCCATTTAAAGGAGATGAGATAAATGCATGCCTTCCCACGGCTTAACCCCTACGATCTTCTGTCATTTTCTGAGTTGATTTTATGTCACTTAACTGAAATTATTTAGAAAACCTACCCAGCATTAAACATTAACATGGCTTTTTTTATATGTCACGATTCGTTATCATGCCAATAAATGATTAATTCTAATTCTCTGTCTGGACCAATACTTTGGCAGGACTTTTATGATTCATAATTTGTACTGTGTTGTAATGTTACCTCTCGAAACTGACATACTAGCATTTATTGTTTTTTATGGCCCCTTGAGGTGGCGTTTGAAGGAGACACCAGGTGGCATGTTTAGGGTTTAAAAGTTTGATGCGGCTGGAGTAGACAGAACTTATCTAGTGGGGAGTGGAGGACTGGTGCTTCTGTGGACTGTGAGCCTTTGAGCAGCAACCCAGCAATGGATAATTCAGCAGTCTGTTTGGCCAATGCCACAGTTTGCAATGGCACGTCCTGTGTGGTACCGGAGAGCAACTTCAATGCCGTTCTCAGTGTGATCCTCAGCGCCGTCTTGACTACCCTGTTGGCACTGGTGATGTTCTCTATGGGATGCAATGTGGAAATCAAGAAATTCCTAGGGCACATAAGGCGGCCGTGGGGCATCTGTGTGGGCTTCCTCTGCCAGTTTGGAATCATGCCCCTCACGGGGTTCATCCTGTCAGTAGCCTTTGACATCCTCCCCCTCCAAGCCGTGGTGGTACTCATCATGGGATGCTGTCCTGGAGGAACCTCCTCCAACGTCTTGGCCTATTGGGTTGATGGCGACATGGACCTGAGGTAAGATATCTAAACCTCCAAATACTGCAATCGCATTGAATTCTTCTTCTCATAAGCCTGTGGTGTTGAGAATGCCCATGAGCTCCGCCACTGATCTAGGGTACAACGGAGGAATAAAAAGGACAAGGAGAAATGCATTTCCTCGCCTTCCTGAGCAGCCGCTTGGTGATGCGAATTTAGGGGTTCTGTTTTGTGCTGATGTCTTTAAATCTAACTCCATTAACTAGGAGTTGTATCATTGCCATTTATCTTTGGGAGAAAAGTCCAAGTTTTTCAAAAAAAGGAATCCTATCCAAGCCATAAGAAGCAGCTCAGAAAGTTTTCCTTGTTAATATCAGGAAAAAAAACAAAAAAACTCTCTTTGTGGTGGTGAGGAGCTCTGAATGCAATTGTGAACTAAATTGTTTATTTAAACGGTAGCCCCAAGGATGAGACAATGACCAAACATAACCAGATTTTTTGAACAAGCTTTTTCTTGGTTTAAAGGCTAAGAAAGATGGTGTACATTTACTTCACTTCTATGAGCATTAAACGAAAAGAAAAAAACAAACAACAGTGTTTTTAAAATTATGCTTACCCTTCTATAAAATAAGCAGAAAATGGTTTCCCCGCTTCCCACAGAATAATCTAAACTGCGGCGTTTGCCCAGTTCCTCCTGTGCCAGTCTGACCTAGCACTGGAGGAGAAAAAACTAATGGAGATAAGATGAAGCATTAATGTGGGAGACTGAGAATTTTAATGCTGCCACTCAAATAGACAAATGTCTTTTTTCCTTACCTCATTGCTCTTCATTTCCTGTGGAAGATAAGCATTTCTGGACACAGCCAGGTGTTGATGTCATGTGTGCTTGTTACATGCTGTCCAGTAGGCAATGGACTCTGTTAATCACCAGCTACAAAACTCAGAAGAGAGATGTTCACGGTGTAGAAATGTAACCACAGCAGAAGGTGAAACTGGACTCCAGGCTGAGCCAGCATCTTGCGGGCCGTTGGGAGCCCACCACCTCATCCTGGCTGGTGCCGATTTCTTCAGAAGCTTTAGAAAAGCCTGCCAACAATACATCTTCACATTATATGCTTTTCACGTAAGGAAATCCTGTCTCTTCCTTGAAATAGATTTTTTTATTCCCAAGGAAGGTCCTGTGAGGAATAAGGATGGCCAGGGATGTTCAGGTTTAGTTAATCTGTGAACCATCATGTGGCAATAAGGTCTTCTTAGACTTCAGCTTGACCTGCACACAGGCACGCCGGTGAGAATTCTGCAAGCTAGGAGCTGGCTGAGGGGAGTGAACTGAATCGAATATAGGACTTTGACTCTCACTAAGCAGCTTTTACATAACATTTGTAACTTTTTAACGAAACCAAAGAGCCGTGTACCTCATTATCATGCCACATGTGGAATCATTCCAGAAGACAGAAAAGCATGTGTGATGCTGGGTTGTTTGGCTGCTGAAACAGATTCGTTTCCATGGGCTAAAACTGGAAAAAAAAAAAAAGCCCTCATCTAAAAGCTCTAAGTTACCTCTTCTGTGGTTTTATGGAAATCTGGAAATTTCTCTGGAAATAGGAGATGGTTATATTAACTTGCTTATCTCGCATAACAATTCCTGTGAGAAGTAAAAGTATTTATAAATAAGAACCAAAGGTAGAACTTGAGACCTTGGCAAGAGACAGCCAGCTGAGTCAGTGTATGTGACTGCATCAGAAAGTCAGAGTAAATCCTGCAGTGGAACGCACAGCATTGAAAATTTTTTATTTTCTTTCTAGAAAGTGTGGACTCATTGATATCCCTTGTCTTGTGAATAACATCAACACCTGTCTAGTCCGATGTAAATCCCACTTAATCTCTGAGACCTTCCTCACACAAGACCTATTTACTCTCCCAATTCTAGACCTCTGTTGCGCTGTTTCCCAGCAGGGGGGATGCGAAACAAGAAGTGGGGGTGGGGGGCAAGGTGTTAGATGGGCAGGCCTGTGTCCCCTAGCAGCAAGTGGCCACAAGAGCCTGACCCCCAAGAGAAAAGACCAAAATGCTTCTGAAGTGAGAAAAGACAATTCACAAAACACAGGTGCCTCTGCATCACAAATTTTAGGGACAAACGGCTCTGAAAGAGCATTACCCAAAGACATCACTGTATTTCAGCTGAGCAGATAATAACATTTACCACAAAGCCCGTAATCATTGAAGAGAGGTCAGATTATGCCACTAGGGAGGACTGGGGACATTATGCATTGCATATGTTAGAGGAAAAATTTGAAGTATTTCTTTAAAGCAAACTAAGGGAGTAACACCTCAGCTATTAGGAAACAGTTTTGCAGCCCTTTTTCTATTCCTCTGGAGTGAGCACTGCAGTCTCATGATTAGTTAGATGCAATCCTATCTCTCCTTTATGTTTTCGATTCTGTCCTCTTGGAACGTTACCATCTCCGTTTCCACTTGAACTCTAGCAATGGCGGCCGAGATGTGACTGTTTATACCAACAGGTGTCTGCACCCGCTGAGCGGACAGCACACAACGCTGGCTAAACCACTCCATCTCCGTCTCGTTTTAACTCTCCTGGATGTGGTTCCTGGGAGAAACCAAATCACCTCCCCTTCACCCTATCATCTCTTCCCAAGCTGGGAAACCAATGCATTTTGCAGTCTCTAGTGACTTAAACACACACACACACACACACATAACAAAATAACCGACCTTGCTAATTGAATCCTTGCTCACCGACATGCAGTGAGTGACACTTCAGCTCCCTCCTGGACCACTCGAGCCTAGAAAGTTGTCGTGGGAATCTGATCAGTGAACAGGCATTTTCACCTGACTTAGCTGTGCCGTGGCCCCATTATGCACAAAATGTTTCAGGAAGAAACGCAGGTGATGGTTTCAGGTGACTTCTTGGTGGCCCAGCCCTGTGGGTCAGGGATCGCAGAGAACTCCCACCACCTGGTGTCCGCTCTATCCCCAGAGGCTCCTGATTTTTGAATCTCTCTTTGCCAACATTGGCCTCCGCCGCACGCACCACACGAGGGTTTTCCTTCTCGTTTTCCTTTCTTTGACTTCTTCTTTGGGGAGTCCCTGCCAATGCAGCCTTTCCTTCACTGCTCTGCCCTGTCTGCACTCCCTTTTTATTATTTTCCAGATTTAATAGTTTCTGGGTTTTCCTACCACATCCTTTGTTCTTCATCCAAATGCTGTTTCTTCATCTTCCAGCTTTGTGTTGACTGTTATTATAGCCGTTCAAGATCCCTGACCCTCCAGCCTATTGCAGATTCAAAGCAGTTCCTCTCATTTCAACATAAATGTCCAGATCCTCACTAATCTAAGAACTAATCCAATGCTATTTGGATTTCCCTTTATTTTCCCTCAGAGTAACCAAGCTATGTTTCTCTCTGTAGCATTACTTTTTATTTACTAGCTAACGTTTAGGAGGCTCTGGTAAGAACCACACGCAGTGTAAGCATGCTACGTCTATTTTAATCCTCAGACTAATCCTCTAAGGTTAGGGCTGCTTTTCTGCAGTTGCTAGGTGAGAAAATTAAAGCTCTTAACCTTGACGGAAGTCATAGTCAGTGCATGTCAGAGTCACAATTCGAGCCCAAGACCTCTCCACTCATCTCTGTCCAGAGTCTTAACCTTGGCTCAACACTGTTTCTATCACTTGTCACATCTCCACTTTCCAGCCCCACTAGACACGTTTCTTTCGATCTTTCAAATTTGATGTTTCACTTCTAATAGGGTTACAGTCTTCTGCATTCCTCATCACTGCCTGGACCAAATTCCTCAACATTCACTAAATTCTCATTTATTGCTTTCTTTTAATTCCAAAAAGAAAAGGAAGGAAAAAATATTCTTCCTGGAAGTTAATAGAGCTAAGGCTCTATTAGAATTTAAACTAAGAGTTTTTTTTCTTTTCTTGTGTTTCCTCTTATTTCAATATAAATGCATGGTATAGTATTTCTATTGGTGACACCTATGCTTCAGGGTTTTTTGGGGTTTTTTTAATATATAAAGTTATTTTTTTTCTTTTGCTAATTTATTCTCCTGTATTGATCCTTAAAATTATTTATCTGTGAATTGTGCTTCATCTCATTTTGAGTGGTTCCAGCCATCTGTACTCCCACCCCTTGGCTGTACCTCGTGATCCAGGTGACCCACTAGATCTAAACCAGTCCCTTCTCCAACTCCAACTCCTGTCTTGTCCCTCCTCGTGGCCTTTGAGAAGCTAGTCTTGCCAAGTTCAAAACCAGGATATAACTTCATAAATTATCTTAGCAATAAGACAAAATTAAAGCTTTCACAAGGAAATTGAAAAATAAACAAAATACAAGGAGAGAAACAGACATTCTTCTAAAAGTTGCTTTCATGGTTTGAAGCAAATAATTCTTGGCCTTCTCTTCCCTGTGGTCCAGATCTGAACACTGTCCTTCTTCAACCCCTCCTGTCTTCTCCACTCAGGAACACATATTGGATGCATCAGAGTAATAGTGATTTTATTACGGGGATAACTTAAAAGCCATGCTAATTTATTTAGAAAAAATAAAAGATAAAAAAAGAAAATGGTGATGGAAGAGAGAATGGGTAAAGTCATTTGCAAACTCCAGTATTTTAACTATAAGTAGGACAAAGCACTGTTTGTAACAAATTAACTTATTATTACTCTGTTTTTAGCTTCTACTGTGCACCCAAATTAAGTTAACCTATCCCCATAATAGGCTGAATGTCTTAGAAATGCTTTACATACATCTCTACCATTGATTATTTTTACACTATTTTAGCTCTACTATAGCAAGTATTTTTATCTGGATTCTTTAAACAGATTTTAAATGAGGTCATTCTGGTTTTTTGGGGTTTTTCTTTAATGATACTTAGGGAAGTTAAGCCCTTTGATAAACATTGCCCCATCCTTTATTTTACCAAAATTGTGCTTAGTTAGATACACTGAAATGAAATTCCTCACCTCCAGAGTTTTCCTTAGCAATGTGTAGGGTGGTTGTTTTTATTGTTGTGGGGTGGGGGGTGCAAGTAGGTGGTGTAAATAATTTAATCTTTTCCTTCAAGCTCACGTAAAATACCTTTAAGGAGTGACTAGGCTGATCATCTGTCTCAGTGCTACAGCTATTAGAGAAAGAGCCTTTCAGAAAAATCTCTCTAGTTTCCTGATGCTGTGTTATTCTGGAGCACATCACACACACACAGACTCACACACACACACACACACACACACACACACGGTGGCTGGGTAGATAATACCGTAACTGGCTTTTAGTGAGCGCCTTGCCTTATTCTAAGTATTGGACTCCTTGGGTCACTCGGTCCTCTCAGCCTGTGAGGTGGCCGTGATTTCTCAGATGAGGAAACTGGCAAAGAGAAATCAGATAAATCACCAGAGTCACGTAGATGGCTTCCAAGCCAAGCAGTGTCTGGCCCAGTCATTTAAGGTCTCTGTTCCCCAGGAAGAGAAAGTGGCTCTGTGCCCAGGGCACTTTGCAGGGACCAGAGGACTCACTATCCAGAAACCTGTCTTCCATCTGCTGTGGCAGTGCTGAAAATAGCATCGTTCCATGTGAAGTCCTCCACGCTGGGAGCCGAAGTCCACCTACCCAGCCAGGTCTGCCCTATAAAACTGCTGCTCTCAGGAGGAATGCCACCAGGCCCTGATTCTTCTGAGCACCATTTGCAAAATTCCTGAGCAGAAATAGAACCCAGGCCCACCCTGCCTGTTTGCATGTTTTCTTGTTTTTTGTTTTTAACCTTTTCTCAAGCTACGGGTGTTTGGGGAATAATGTGTCTGCTTTAACGAGAGACGCCGAGGCTTCTTCCCTTGGACGTACTTTCTCCCCCAAGGGCCATGGAGGCCTGTCTCACCCCAAGCCGGACAGACGCAGCAAAGCCCGTGAAGTATCGGCCAGTGTGACTGTGTTTGCTGGTCTCTGATTGGAGGCATGAAGGGTGGCATGTCCGAGCACCTGTGCCTTGTGTAATAATGAGTTTAAACAGTCATGAGATATCTTCTCCGATCCTTGAGAACCAATGCAGAGGGAAGGATGACACAAGACAAAATAGAAAGACACCAAATACTGATCTCATCATCCCGCCCCACGCAGGGCGCTGCCCAGACCGGGGCACCTGTGTGCTTCTGTCCATCAGACCGAATGGTGTTGCTGGTTGAGAGAGTCTTTTGCACGACTTTCTAATCGTGCACTGAAAACTGAAACCACTCTCCCCAAGAAAGCCGAGGTGGCCTGCCAACCTGCCCATTTCTTTTCAGCATCAGCATGACCACGTGCTCCACGCTGCTCGCCCTGGGGATGATGCCGCTGTGCCTCCTAATCTACACCAAGATGTGGGTGGACTCCGGGGACATCGTCATTCCCTACGATAGCATAGGTGAGTCATTCCTGCCCCTGGCTTCTAAGCATCGCCGCCCTCCTCTCTGCTCGTCCCTGCCCAGCTCTCGGGCCAGGCTCAGACCCAGCAAGCCTTTACCTCTCACACCAGCAGTAGTTCGTGCCCCATTTGGCTTTCAGGACAAGTCTCGCCTGTATTTGAGTGAGGGCTGGCAGACTCTGAAATTCAAACCTTGACCCCATGGGAGAACCGGTTTCGTCCTCCACTGAAAGCACCAGGGAGACAGAGCAACGGAAGGGACCTCTGGGCACAGCCATCTGGACCTTAGGAGGTGGGAGTCTCTGGAGGCTCCATCCTTCCCTTAACGCAGAGCACAACTAGTCTAGGGGGGACACAAGTTTGCTCCTGAACACTCAAATTGAAGAAAGACAAAAACCATCTCGCTAATGATTTTAAAATAGGGCACCCGGTAAGCAGTGATGACTGTGGCAACAGGAGACCTCCAGATGAAACACCCTGTTTATGACACTCTTGACTCAGAAGTCGATCTGCTGGTGCAGCCTGTGATCATGTCCTGGGAGTCAGAAGTGCTGGTTATAACTCTATCTCCACTCATCTCAGCTCCCAGATGGCCACCCCCACCCCAAAAGGGCTCTTTTCTATTTCTGGCAGAACAAACGAGGGTAGGAGATTAAGTCACTGGTGTAACATGGGGTCAAGGACAGGACAAGCTAGTTCCTGGTCTGCCGAAACCCCTGTGATCACCAAAGGTGAGAGGTAGGTGAACTAGTACGTGGTACCATCACCAGGTACAGGACACGCTAGGTCGTCTTTTTCCCAAGGCTAACCTTAGAGACACGTGTCTTCTCGGGGGGCTGTGCTGCAGGTGTCCCGTGGAAGGGAACACGTGAGCAAAGACTAAATGATGACTCAGAAAGATGTTTGTGAAAGGATTCCTGTTGGTGTGGGAAGCTGGACTGGATGGCATCTCAAATCACTTCCATTTCTAAGAAGGATTGTTTCTGTGATAAAAACATGCATCAGGATCTACACAACTGAATCAGAACAGACAAGGGAACCTTCCTCGGGGACAATCGGTGCTGCAGTATTTTCAGATAGTCTCTCCTCTCTCTACGCCTACCATCGCCATTAGACACGCCCCCTCCTCCAAAAAAGTGGTCCTTCTTGGCACACCTTGTTCAGTACGGGATTTCCCCTCACAAGGTCCTTCTACAGACCCCAGGGAACTCCATATCAGAAATCATCTCATGCAAGCAGATTATGAGGCGACCCTGGGCAACCACCTTGCCTGTGCCTCAAGCTGCTTAACTCTCAGTCTGCTCCCTTGGAGGACGCTCTCCTTCAAGTTAAAGGGTGCAGTTTGCTTGAGGAGTGTTTATTTTAGGCCTCTCAAAGTTGTTTGCTGAATGAGGAGTTTTAACTCTATATTACTTATTGTTTAAGAAAAAAAGTTAAACCTTCAAATAGCCTCCTCTGGATATTCATTCCCTCCTAGAAAATGCCCCAAAGCAGTATTGAGAAATTCTAACTACAGTGTGAATGACTGATAACACATCCTTTAACATGAATAAATTTTGAAAAGAAGAGAATGAGAAAGAGTAATTAGTACCTCAAAGGAGGAAAAGATCATCATGCAAGAGTTTAAGGACAAAAAGAAAAGAAAACAGAAAACAGAAAGGGAGAGAAATGAGGAAGAGATAAGACATTTTTGAATGAAAGGTTGAAAAGCAAAGATATTAACTCTGCTTAACTCACCATTTTGCCCAGGGCCTATTTTCCTACCTAACCTTCTCACTATTGGTTTTCCTAGTCCTTTAATGTAGAAAAAAAAACCTGATTCATTCACAAGATGTTTTTCACTGAGGAAGTTAAGGCTCAGGGTAAGGGTTGAATTTGTCCAAGATGAACAGGGAGCCGGAAATAGCCCTCTAGTCTGCTCTCCACTCAGCTCCGGGGGCAGGGCTGTTTGGCACAGTTTCCATACAGTGCACACCATGTTCAGGTGATTCAATAAACAGCCGCTGAGCCCCCTCAGATGATGACATCTGGACAGAGGAGCAGGCAGCTTACACAGCTGGTACCACTGAATACACCGCAGCAAGTTGCTGTTCTTCTCTTCCCCACTCTGCCGTTGAGTGTGTCTAGGACCACGAATTGTGTATCCACGTCACCATCTGACTCCCACAACAGCACCATGAGGGAGACATCTTTCTGCCCATTTCACAAATGGGGAAAGCAAGGCTCAGAGGCATCAATAATCCTCACAATTCTCACACTTTGTGAATCAGGTCCAGCTCCGAGTCTGTCCGGCTCTGAGTTGCACCGTGTGACTCCCTTTCCCACTCTTTCCTTCTCTCTTTTCTTTCTACCTTTCTTCCCACCTGTATATATTCTTTGTAAACTTGATTAAAGACCAAGTTGTGGTGCTCAAATTGTGGAAACTCTAAGCAGATGCTTTCTCATCTAAATAGACAGGCACCTGCCACAGAGAGTGCAGGCAGATCTCTAGCCCACTCGGGAGTAAAGAATCACCACAACCCACCTCTTCAGGCAGAAGCCACACACTCTGAGGGTGATGAAGGGCAAAGAGTGTCTTTTCCAGTCAGCATCGTGTCCCAGAAAGACTATCTGGTCTCATCTGGTCAAGAGAGGAAATACAATTCCACCATGGATTTCAACAGCCAGTCCTGCTGGTGTGTTTATCCTGTAGCCTTGGGCTGCCCCAAAGAGATAAAGACTCCTGGCAAAGAGGGGCCAAACACGAAACTGAGCTGACTTTCCACAGCTCCAATACATTACAAATACACTACCAAACCTAAGCACGCTCACAGTCCAGTCTCAGTGTTGGTACCCAGATTTAAGCGGCCACAGTACAACAAATCTGTATCAAGATGGTTTTCATTTAAGGACTACAAACTTCACAATTTGGAGAACAGGCTGGAGACCCAGGGGAAAAATTCTCCTCTCAAAGTAGCAGGAGGTAAGAATACCCAAAGGGGGTTATTCTGGGGGCTCTTATGAGTACATCCATCCATGTCCTTATTTCACATCCTTTATTCCACCATTTTCTCCTCACCTTTTCCTCCCTGATCTTTCTTTTTCTTCTTCCTCTTGGTATCTTAACTATTACTTAATCTCATTGAGTAATTTCTGGGAAAAAGTAATTGCTGACCGTATCTTGCCAGGAGGGCCAGAGGCTACAAAGACGTTATGTTTTCATCACTATTATATTCATTTTAAATTGATATTTATGGCCCTGGAATCTGGAATCCATTTCCCAGTCCTAGTGCAATCTACTCCAATACCAAGCAACATCCACTCTCAGAATTTCATTATTCAATTCCACTTTCTCCTACTGCTTTAAAAGGATATTTGACAAAGAAACAGCCCATGAGAAGTTAGAAGTTGTTGGTGCTGTGTTACACAAAAGCAGCAATTGGACAAATGAGTGTTAAATAATATGGAGAAACAAACCACATGTCATGAGAACAGCAGTAAATTTAACACAGTGAAACTGAAGTATGACTCTTTCATCTGGCTGGGTGAGCTCATTCCTGCAAAGAATTATAATTACTCGAGAGGTCGCCAAATATTTTATCTCACGGAAAATTTAAAGCATGCTTTTTCAACCTTTTCTCCCACCTCTCTGCTGCAGATTTAAATAACCCAACTCAGTCTTAACCAGAAGTCATTAGCCCACAGAATGCCTGGAGAATTTTGAACTTTTTTCTTTTTTTTCTACTACCATGAAGTAACAGACAGATGTAAAATACCGTCTTTCTTTATACACCACCGGAGCACAGACACACACAGAGACTTTGGAAACGTATGATCCCAAGACCAGAGAAGCCAAGCTTCTGACAAATCGAAACTAAAAGAGACTGACTGGTAGAATAAGGATTCTTCTAAAAAAATTAATCCAGGATTTAGGGAAAGGATTTGTATCATCAACATTATCAATTTTCCAGCAGCAATATTGAATTATTTACTGGAGTAGGTAAAGAAGTAGAGTTGGGGTTGGGGGTTGTTGTTTGTTTTTTGAATTCTGTTTCATGTATTTAAGAAGAGAGACAGAGCTACGACCTAAACCTTCTGCGGGCTGTTTTGCTTTCCTCTTCCCTGTGCTATGTGTTCTGTTGATCAGATTGCTCTCTGTCACTTTTAGGTACGTCTTTGGTCGCTCTGGTTGTTCCTGTTTCCGTTGGAATATTTGTTAATCACAAATGGCCCGATAAAGCCAAGATCATACTCAGGGTAGGTGTCCCCAGTCATAGCATAGCATCGTCACATGCTCCGCAGTGTCCGCGCGTAAACGGTGGGTCTCTCCATCTACTGGACCGGGTTTTTCACATTGGATGATAATGCCCCATCTAGGGCGGCTTAAAGTTATCAGACACGCAGCTCACTCTTCTAGAGCACCCTCCTCTGTCCCATCCTCAGAGCAAGTTTCTATCCACCCTTGGAGAGCCCGAATTCAAGGGCAGGATTTTTTACCCTGCACACCCACAGCACTTTGCTTTTATCCCTGTTATGTGGGTTTGTATTCCAAAATATATCTAGACAGCTGTCTTAGAAAATAGGTCATATCTTTCTTATCTCTGTATCCATATGGCCAATTCAGTGCCCGGCAATTGGTAGATTTTATATATATGTGTATGTATACACACACACACATACATGTGAATACATATATACACACACATATTTATAGATATAGAATTATATATAACTATATATAATAATATATATAACTGCATTTATATAAATGATGATATATGTAATTAGTAATCATTCATTCCCTTTTATCAACTGTATCCTTGCCAGATGAGATGGAGATGGATAATATAGACAGGTTCAGAAGGCAAAATAAGCCACTTGGTGTTCTTTGTCTCTTTGACAAAAAAAAAAAAGTTATAAATCTCTAATTCTTTTTAATGTCAAAAGGGGAAAAAGATAACAGTGGCTTTGGCTTGCCTGTGCCTTTTTACCTTTTATAGGGTTTTATCTCCATTTTCTCACCATTATAATCATAAAAGGTGGCTAAGGCAAGATTTCATCCTCAATTACAGACAAAAAATCAAAGATTCAGAGAGGTTTTGTGACTTACCAAAGGAAGGAGGGCAGGAGGAGTTGAATCTGGCAGCCACGTCTTCTTGGAGTGGGTTTTCTTCCTTTCTGACAAGGATAATTTTGAGCTAGAATATCTTCTTCAGGTTAACTGAGTACAGCCCCTCCATGTCCTGTTAATTTTCTTAAAAATTGAAACGTGGGACAAGCACCAGCGTTTCCAGTGGGTCTACCCTGGCGTCAGGCGCGGGGTACACAGGGAGGTCACTAATCATCACTTCCCCAGAGGGAAGGAGATGCTTAGACTTCTTCTCCTACAAGAATCTTTGCATTTGCTTTGACATGCGATTGTTGCATCTGCTTGTCTTCCTTCTAGATTGGGTCCATCACAGGCATCATTCTGATCGTGCTCATAGCCGTGGTCGGAGGCTTCCTGTACCAGAGTGCCTGGATCATCTCGCCCAAACTCTGGGTTATAGGAATCATATTTCCCTTCGCCGGTTACTCCCTGGGCTTTCTTCTGGCTAGAATAGCTGGCCAGCCCTGGAACAGGTATGGTGTTTTGGTAAATCAGACGAGGAACTTCCTTCTGTAATCGCTGCTGTGTTCGTTTGCTGCTGTTATGAAGTACCACCAACTGAGTGGCTTGAGCAGTTCTGGAGTCTTGATGTCCAAGGTCAATGTCAACATGACTGATCCTTTCTGAGGGACGAAGGGCCATGTGCTCCAGGTCTCTCTCCTTGGCCGGTGGAAAGCCATCTCCTCTCTATTTCTCTTCACATCGCCCTCCTTCTATGCAAGTCTCTGTGTCCAAGTTTTCCCTTTTCAGAAGGACGCGAGTCATATTGAATCAGCGTATGTCCACCACACCTTGTCCTAACTAATTAGACCTTCAGTGACCCTATGTCCAAATAAGGCACATTCTCAGGCGCTGGGGGTTAGGATTTCAGCGTGTGCATTTGAGAAGATCCAGTTCAGCCCATAATCGCTGTAAACACTGAGGACAAATTCACAATTCTTCACCTGTAATAATGTTCACTCTGTTTCTGAATACATCATTATAAATAGACTCATTCATTCCTGAAAGATGCAAGTCCTCTGGAAAGAAAATATGGACTGCCTCTTTCTTGTTCAAATTCTCCTGGCCCTTCCTCCTGGGTAGTACAGGTTGGGCTCCTCTGTGCTCATTTGTCCTTAATTCTCCAAGCAGAGTGACTCCAGCCAGAGCTGAATTCAGGTTGGTCCTGTAATATACAAGGATTCCTCCAGCCAGAAACAGGACGCACTCACAATCCAAAAAGTTCTGAAGAGCAGAACTTGTTTTAGCGTGTACGGGCTTGGGACAGGGTGAAGGCGTTCCTGCTTCTAGCATGTTGGAATCAGTAGGCAGAGGGAAAATCAGGTGTAGGAGCTGGTGCACGTATGAGGTTGGGGACAAGATGAGAGGCGCAGGCCGGTGGGAAGGGTGTGGCTGAGTCAGGCTGACTGGGGATGGCACTGGGACCCACCACTCACCCACTGTAGGACCCAGGCCAGGCTCTTTCTCTTTCTCTGATTTTCCTCATCTGTAGAATGGGGACAATGATAACTACTCTGCAGATTTTTGATCAAGATTTAATCAGAAGAACAAAACCGAATTTAACAATAAAACAATAGCAAATACTCTATTTTGAGTGTTTTCTCAGCCCCTGCTCTGCTCTGCACTGATGCCAAGGACCTAATTGAACAAAGTGAAATCATCCCCCTCTGCTGTTTATGGAACATTAACATAAATGAGCCTCTCCTTTCAGAGTTCTTAAAATTTATATATATATATATGTATCTGCTTTTAATGCATAATTTTATTTTATAAATAGATATATAAATTTATTCAATATTATATTGAATAATTATATATTACTTATTAATAAATATTATCCAATATATTAAATATAACATACATACATATGTGTGTGTGTGTATATATATATATATATATATATATATACATAGTTATGCATATAGACATAGATGACATTGATAGCTTCCACTGCTCATAGGGCAAAATAAGCTACTTGGTGATTTTTGTTCCTCTGGACAAAAGAAAACATTATAATCCCCAATTTTTTTTTAATGTGAAAAGGAGAGAAACGATAATAATGGCTTTTATTTACATAAGACTTTTAAACTTTTACAGGGGTTTATATCCATTTTCTTATTATCATAACAGTTATAAAGATGACTAGGGCAAGAGTTTTATCTCTATATATGTAGTGAAAAAGAGAAAATGTTTGTATTATAATGTATTATCTGATAATATATTAATGCATATTTATTGAATATAAATAAAACTATAGAGTTTAATAAATATATACATGAAAAGTAGACGTGTGTATTCAGACATGTTTCGGTACTTGTTCTCCTATCTGCTTTTAATTTTCTACAATAACAAAGCAAAACAACACCACCAAAAACAGACCAGTGAAAACGTGTGTTCTTGTAACATTTCTTTCAGGTGCCGAACGGTTGCTTTGGAAACAGGGATGCAGAACGCTCAGCTGTGCTCTACCATCGTCCAGCTGTCCTTCACCCCTGAGGAGCTCAACGTCATCTTCACCTTCCCACTCATCTACAGCATCTTCCAGTTGGTCGTGGCAGGTCTATTCTTAGGACGTAAGGAACACCTATACTCACATTTCACTGTGATGTTCTTTGAGAAATCCTGGAGTTGCTAATATGACATCTTTTAATTCCCCTTTTCTGCTAATGAATTGTACACATTAAACCAAACTCCCTTTTCCTGGCAGTGAAATAAATGGGTAGGAAACGCTACCCATAATATTCTCATGACATGCCAACTGCTGATAGAAGATTATAATTTTACCAAAAGGTTCTAGTAAAGAGTATTTTTAAGTGAAAAATAATGGAGGTTGATTCTCTCCACTGACTCTCTTTTTCTCAATAATTAAGGAGGCATATTAACCTGTTAGAGCCATTTTATTGTGTCCCTTCCTACCTGCTTCTAAGAATCCTGAACTGGTCAATTTTTAATTCAAACATCATCTTGGTATGCTTAGTATTTATAGGATATTTCTCAGAAAATTGGTATAAAAGGATATTTATCAGGCTAAGTTATATTGGATGATAGATACATGTATGCATGTACTTGTGTATGTATATAGTTTTTAATAACCATACAATTGAAACAATTGAAGCAAACATTTTTTATTTCAAGTGCTAGGAATAGCTAACCTGGCTTTTCATTTTACTGGGACGTAGCATATAGCTTTGGTCCACGAGCCCCTGCCACCTAATGGCCTTCACCTACTTGAAACTTTTCTCTAATTTTGCTTTCTAAGGACTGGTGATGGTTAATCTATTTTCAAATTCTGGGGCTTTTTTAATAAAGAAACTTCTTTAAGTTTCACGACATTTTAATGGGGATCCTGTAGTGAAAGTGAATGAAAAGGTAATGTGACTCTTAAGTGGCACAATGACCCTAGGTACAGCTTTGTTTAGAATAAGGTTTGTTTTTACACTTAGCTCCATCAGGTACTCCACTTGCCCTTGGGAACTGTTCATTCTCTGTGCTACGGTCTTGAATGTCATTCTCGAAGCAGAGTTTTCCTTTCTAGTATAGGGCTCTCTGGATCCATTAGAAACGTTCCACTGACTTATCACTTGTGCAGGAGAGAGGGTTGCATGGCCTAATTAATTACCTCATTTTCCTGTATCATGGAGATTTACCCAATTTGGTGCACCTTGGGACTTTCCCAAATAATTAGCTAATGGTGTCTACCAGACAAGCCAGAGAAAGTAGTTGAGAGCGAGGACAATTAAGTAGATTTACTAGTTAAATAACTCATTCAAAGGGAATTAATATATAAAATTGAAGGAATGATGGGAAAGTGGGCAACAGTCTTACCCTTTCCCACAATTTCAGCAGCAAGAATGAGAACAAGGAGGCATATTTACTAAGGATGTGCAATTCCAGGAAACATATTTTGGTGAAAGGATTAGAAGTCTAAATGCTTTCTTTTTGGAACAAGGAAAGGAAAGAAGGAAGGGAGGGAGGGAGGGATGGAAGATGGAAAGAAGAGAGGAGAATAGTTTGGTTGAATAAAATTGGTGATAAACTGAGGGATTTCAAGCTTAAAACAGTTTATAATAAAAGTATAATAAAAGGGATATTTTCATGAACCACAAGCTCAATTGAATAGAGTCAATAGCTTAGTGGCTTCTAAGTGAATATACTGAGTGGGGAGAGAACAGCTCAGTGGTAGAGTGTGTGCTTAGCATGCATGAGGTCCTGGGTTCAATCCCCAGTACCTTCATTAAAGATAAATAAATTTGAAAACCTAATTACCTCCCCCCTCAAAAAAAAAAAAAAGAAAGAAAGAAAAAACTAAAGCAAATTAATGTAAAAACCAAAACAAATATACTGGTAGATGTACAGGAGCCATCCAAGGAGGTATTGACCTTGAAATGTTCAGATCTCGGAAGCAAGATCACGTCTCTCTCAGCTGCATATCATCGCGAGCGTTAGTGCTGACTGAGCCCTTACTGCTTTCTCAGGGGTGGGCACTGTACCATTTTAGCTCATCTGTGTTCACAATTGCCCCATGAGATAGGCAGTATTTTTATACCAATTTTAAGTGTGAGGTATTGGAGTCTGAGGGTTCCAATAAATAATACCTTCTCCTCCCCTGTTGGAACCAGATCAGAGGTAGAAGGGGGAAAAAATCAGATATTTAGATAACAAAATTGCACTTTTATTATAGATAAAACTTAATTAGAAAATATGGCTCAAAACTGTGACCACGTGGGCTTGTTGATATCGTCCTGCTCCGTGGCCTCCCACTGTGCACGTAGCATCCACAGATACACATAGACTGCAGGCCAGTCTGGCCAGGTGAGCTGACCTCAGAAATACACTGAGAAATGGCCGCCCCCAGAGACTAGCAGCTTCGTGGAAGAGATGAGGGCTGATCACCCCTCAGCCAAGGCTCCCCCATCGTGGGAAGGAGTGAGTGAGGGCTGGGAAAGTCCGTTATTCCAGCTCAAGTCCTCCCCCACAGACCTTTAGACCAAGGTACCGACACTGCAGCTTAGCTTGTAGCCTGTTTGAGGACTGATACGTTAGCTGGAGAGGGAAGGGACAGAATAGATGCCTGTTGTCATTATTGGTGAGTACCACCTGCAGGGCTGATCAGCGGAGGCTAGGTGAGCAGATATCCCCTAGCTGTGGGCCAGGTCTTCCTGAAGTGTAGCCATCCCACTTACGAGCGGCCGTGGAAATAAAAATGAGGGTGGTGCTCCCTAAGGAACTTCCCGCCTACACAAAATACAAACTGCTTCTTGAGTCATAGATTATAATCACTGTCCAAAGTAAGTCTGCAGCTTCCTATTATGAAATTTGCTTAACCTGCTGTGTATTGTTTTCTAGTGTATGTAGCACACAAGAAATGTTTTGGAAAAAACAATGTGGAACTTCCAGACGGCAAAGACATCGAACCACTCCCTAAGGCATCCTTCAGCAAGGCGAATGAAGCATTTCAACCAGATGAAAAGTAAACACCAGTGGACCAAAAAGAAGAACTCTAAAGAACATGCTTCAGCTATAAAAAATATTTAATTATTTGTTTTGATGGGATATTTGTCAGAAAAAAAAAGTTAAAGAAAAAATTTAAGTTTGAATTGAATCCATATATTGGTTTTGCTACCAAGTGACTGGTCCAGATCTTTCATGTGACAGATATATATATATATACACACACCGTCTTTGAAATAAGCCCAAAAAGTATTCTTGGACCTCAGGCTAAAGCTGACATGGGAGACACTGAGAATTTAATAACCAAATTAGAATCAAGCCCAGATCCCATCAGGGATTTTGTACATCCGTTGCTCTGCCTCCTGAGTCCAATGATGCCCACTTGATTTTTTTTAGGAAAAACAGAATTATTTCAAATGGCTTGTATTTGGCAACGCTCTTTCAGCCCTGGAGAGAGATTGCCTCAAGGCTCGCCTGTTAGTCGCAGGTCCACATTAGCTAATACGACAGCTCTCTGGTTCACACCTCAGAGCAGGGAGGTGGCAGGAGGCACAAAGGCAGGAGACACAAAGACAAGAGAAGTATTGGAAGAAACATGATGACTCTAGTGGGTGAATCCCAGTCAATGGGAGATGAAGGAAAATACACGGAAAAGTACAAATAACAGCAATTTGGTTGAAGGGCAAGACTAGAGTCAATTAGATGTGCAGAAGAATGAGGTCAGGGAGCCATGGGAGACATAAGCATTAAACAGTGTTCGAGGATGAAGAGGACATGCCCAGGGCCCAGAAGGCGGAAGTGCATTGCCAAGTGAGCTCCTAAGATGCTGTCAGTAGGTGTATCAAGAGGAAGCAGAGAGGATTTGAACAATGGCAACAGTTTTATGGCAAAAGAGAAACAGCTGGAGAGGGTTGGGTTCTCAATGACAGGTCTGATTTATCCTCCCTCCCCTCACTCCACGGCAAGAGGCGGAGCATTCTTAATCCAGTTCACAGTGGTTTAGTTCCATTTTCCATTCGGACACTGTCACTGCCTCATAGACTCCCTTTCAACTGCGTTGGCTTCAGAGAGCCTCTTGCATTTGGATGATGTGAGTTCAGGTCCTGCTGGTGCCCCTCAGCGTTACAGGAACACGAACGTCAACGCTTAACTTAGTTCTTCCAAGACAGGGAGGAGGCATGTTCTTTTAAAATGTGGCACTTGTACCTTTTTATACCAGGTTCACATTTACCATTGAGTAAAGCTTCTATATTTTTCCATCATTAGACAAACGCGTTAAAAGAAACACATTAAAAGAAACTAGGGATTTTTTTTTAAAGGATCGTAGAGGAGAGGTGGTCCAGATTTTCCTATTACGGAGGCCAAACAATCTCCTTCCAACAGTACAAAACGAGAACTTTCAGTCTATCTGTCAAGTACCTCCTACACTGTCCTCAAATGGAACACAGGCAGGTGCACTAAAGACACACTGTGAATTCATATCATCATTTCAACACCCCCGAAGTCAAGGGCCTGGACGCAGCAGGCGCAGCAAGCAGCTTTTCCCTCCATGCTGATCAAGATACAGACAACGGAATCTGGCTCTCTAACATGTTGCCGTATCTTGTGAATTGTGGGGTTTTTTCTTGTGCTAGATGGAAGAAAAATAGCTGAACTTTTCAAAATGAAAGCACTCTATTTTTAAATGAGTCTGAGAAGCTGATTAAATTATGTATTTTATTGCCTCTGTGAGTATCATATTAAATGAATATTTTATTTTAAAGGCTGGAATAAATGGAAATAATTTTTGTAACGGTTGGTCTATCTGGGTCTTTGTGATAATTGTCAACATGTCTTTGCTGTTCACTTCTAGAGATAGAAATAAGGTGGAGTTTCTCAAATGTTAAATTGTTCCTCAAAAAGTCCCTGAAAGAAATGCTTAATTAAATACTCTAATAATTAGGTGTCCCACTGATACAGGTTGAAGTTGTCCCCCAGGAAAATCATACTAGGGGAACTTGAATCAAAAACTCTTAAAAAACAGCATGGCGACATCTGACTTAAAATAATAAAAAAGTTTTATGTGTATTTATCAATAAGATCACCACCACGTTCTATGAAAAAAGAGAGAGAAAGACAGAGACAGAAACACTTTAATGATGGTACTGATGCCTTAAAATCTCTCATCAGCAAGACTTGGAGAAATTCAGATGGTGAACCACATTTGACCACTCGAAGATATCACTCTGTTCTCCATCTAGGAAACTCTCACCCTCTTCCAGCAGAAAACAGTGTATCTTTCTTGGAATATCCGGCAGCCCATTGCCTCTCAATCTTTTACCCTTCAAAAACTGCTTTAGTTCACAGCCAGAGTCTTCAGACCGTGGTGTGGATACGCTGAGTCCATGAAACTGTCCTGGGGGTGCAGGAACGGCTGGGGAAGCCGCTCCCATTTCTTCAACTTGTGTACATATTCTTTCCCAAAACTACCCTGCTTCAATGCTCCAGTGCTTGAGATGTCCCGAGTTCTCCCTGCCTACCACCTCTTTCCCGGCGGGGTGCCCTCCTTGAAAAAGCACAGCCTTACTCTCACTGTCCCTACAGAGCACCGGCCCAGGGCAGAGGAATTTTGAACAGCAACTAAAGAAACAGTTCAGAATATTAATGTTGAAGAAAGGCGTCGCATCTTTCTCAGTTGTATACATATTTATTTAAGGTTTTAGAAATGGAGTATTCTGACTTGTGTCGGAACATTTTGAACGTAGAAATACTATAACATGGACTGGGAGTGAGAACAATTTTCTGTTAACAGGATAGCACTCCCAACCCGTGATATACCCCAAAAAACCATCACTATGAGAGCAAACAGACGAGCATTGGTTAGAAACATTGAAAGAGGACACTTTTTTTTTTTGCATCCAAGAGATGACAAACTTATGGTAAATATCTGAACCTTATCTATCTAGCTCAAAATTGGAATACAAATGTGAGGGATTGACACAGACTCCTATTAATGTATTTGTTAGAATCGAAAGATGAAGTCAAATTTTTTTTCAGACAGAAAGTTATCTAGCTGATTGGTTTGACAAGGGCCCTGGCTTTGCCAATTAAGAAATATAAAGGATATTTTCTATAAATTAGATGAACGAAATCTCCAGCACCAAGGTTTTACAAAAATATTAAAAACATGATAATATAAAAAAGCACATTATAAAAATAATTAATCTAGAATATATAAAGACTCATAGCCCAATAATAAGAAAGAAAGTAACAAAAATGAGTAAAAAAGCATTTGAAAATACTCTTCCACAAAGAACAGAAATAAAGCAGATAAGCACATGGCTCTGGCAAATATACCCATGAAAAGATGCTCAATACCATTAATAGTTACATAACTTTGAATCAAAACCATTGTATGTTCAGTAAAATAGCTTAAGTAAAACATTACTATGATGGCAAGTATTAATGGGGATATAAACAGTAACTCTCATAGACTGCTGGCAGTAGGGTCACTTCAAAACCAGTTTGCAATTTCTTATAACATTAAACACACACTAACCATGTAACCCAGCAATCTCACTCCTAGGTGTTCACCCAGGTACTAGAAGTAGAACAGAGTAACAGAAGATCAGGGGCCAGGAACCTGCGGCCGGCATGGACTATGAGGGAAATGACGGAACATCGTGGGCTGATGGAAATGTTCTGTATCGGGACGTTGGTGGTGGTTACACAACATTGGACATTTGTCAAAATGCATGGAACAGTACACTTAAAACTGGTGAATTTTATTTGATGTAAATTATACCATTAATAAAACTGATTGAAACTTTTATTGGTCCAGATGTAGCAGGTAAATTTATTCCACTCCCAATCCTCTGGGAGAATATTGAGTTCAATTTGGAGCCTCTAAGGGTAAGAGTAACAGTCTCTTTGGAAAGTCTAGTCAAGCCTTTTGCAGTATATTTCCTAGAAATGGAAACAGTGCCTAGCTCAAGTTCCAGAAACACTTTGAAAAGCAGATATTTCCAGTTCTTTGCCTTCAACAAAGCTAAGAGGTTCTGGTCAAGTTGTCAACTGTGTATGGATTTGTTGGTCGGCAATTGTGAGTTCTTTGGCATATAACTTGGAAGAAGTTCAAATTCGAGGGACAGCGTATACCAAAAGCCCTCCCACTGTCATCTATCTCTTTATGTGAAACAAAGTTGACCGGCACTTAAATCCATAAAAATAAAGTTAGAGGAACAAAGTGGAGGCTGAACCCCATCTCAGCCTGACAGTTAACAGCAAACTTTCATGCGATGCCACTGCTTTCCAGGGTCTCTTTAACGTCTGTGCTGTGTGAACTGATCTAGTCTTCACAACAATTCTGTGACGTAAGTTAATATTTCTCTCTTTTACAGATGAGGACATTCAGGCACATAGTTAAGGAACGTTCACACAGTCTCACAGATGGCAAGTGCCAAAACTTGATTTGAACTCAGGAAGCCTGGCTCTGCATTTTGGACTTTTGTTGACCGCAGTGCTAAACTCTGTTGTATTCAGCCATAGATACATGGGATTTCAGATCATTCATGAACGCGTTACATTAGAATACAACCCTTCAGTGGAAATAAAATGAAAATATAAATTCAAGTAGAAAGAAAAATAATGTGGAATTTCCAACAATGAAGGCAGAACTTGTCCACATTTTTTTTAATTGATAATGGGTATCATGCCTATGCAGCATGTAGATTCCATTGGATACATTTTAAAGTGATATAACCATTTAAGTTAAAATTTTCAGTATTTATGGAATTGTATGTGCAACGATTGGCAGAAGTTGAATTTGTAATTATTTAATCTTATGACAAATGGCAAATAGCACCTAAAGATATACCTTGCATATCCAGGATTTAAAAGTTATTTGGGGGTCATGAAATCTAGTTTCTTTAATTCTAGTGTTACAGCTTTCCATTAACATGCTAAGTATTGCATAGCAATGCCTGGTCAGTGTCGTAAAGATGGTAGGGGAAACTGAGGAAGGATCAGTTATTCTGCAAATAAAATACATACAGACCCAAACATGCACACACATACATGGTGCAAAAAGTCATAAGAAAGATAGTATCATTACTCAAAATTAAAATAGTAGTTTGGGATGTTTAAACACGAAGATTACGTGCTTGTTGAACCAGTAGGGTTTTCAGCTGCATTACTGATGCAAACATGATGAACAAGTGCATAAGTCACCATGGTTACATCATTCTCAAACCAGGAGAATCTAAAAGAATAGCTTCTCAAAAATAACAAATACGATTCTGTCCTTCTGCTACTGTGGATATAATGGCTCTTTTGCAAGTAGTCTCTTGGAACGAAGGAACGTGATAATGGCTACAGCCACTAAGCTAGTATCACTCATGTCCCTCCTTTAAAGAAATCAGTGAGGACAGCACAGGTCCCTTAAGGACAAAATGAAACAGCAAGAGGGACAGGGCTATGCAATAATGTTAAGTGAAAAACTAAATTAGTATTTAATTATCTTTATACTGGAATGTGTGCACATGCTACAGATCAAAAGGAAAATGGAAGCATGAAAACTCTTTAAGGAAACAGGGGTGTTAAGATGACTTTTCAATATATTTCTTTACTATTCGATATATTTATTTATTAGTACATTATATGTCAGAACCAAATAAGGTCAAGGTGGAAAGAAAGAAAACTAAAATCGCACGGGTTCCCGCACGTCAATACGCTGGGTGAGTACGGCTGGAGGGGAGAAATACGACCCTCTGGTGGTTCTAACATCTTCTACCATCTGTGCCGTTGCTCTTCCCAGCTGGCCCCCGTGTGTCTCTGCCTGTCACCAGGAGGGCACAGGCTCTCTAGGTGTGGCAAACACTACTGTCTGGTTAACCCAACGCCCTTTCCAAATCCCTTCGCCCATTCCCACCTCAGCTGAAAATGCACGCTCCGCTTTCATTTGCAGCTGGTTGGTTGGTCATGTGTTTGCCGCTGTTCTGGACAATCACACGTGGGCAAAAATACTCAGGAAATGGTGTAAAGCCTTTGGCAATTTTTTGTTGACGTTGCTAAAAGGTAATAGATGCATCCGGCATTGCTCCTTCCTCCACATCCTTCTGCCTTAAAAACAAATGGGTGCCTGGTGCATAGTGAGTGATGAGGCAATGAACAGGGACCCACACAGACACCAGCTCCAGGACTGCTGAGCCCCTGAGTGCCAGCAGCAGCCTATCTCCAGACTTATTGATATCTGCGAATAAACACCTACTTATTTAAACTGCCATTGCCCAGACAAGCTATTACTTGCCACTAGAAGCATTCCTAACTTATAGAGCTGGTGATTACTGTAACTGGAGTTCTCCTGGGCATAAGACTCCCACACAAACATCAGAGGATACAGCGATGGTGGACCAGAGGAGGCTGAAAGTTGTCGGGGGGCTGTCAAGACAAAGTTTCTCCAAATATGGTTTTGCTCGGGGCAAAAAAACAAGGTGGCGAGTTCCGGAAAGGCAATGACTATAACACTGAGTTTGCCTAGCTCTTAACAAAAGAGGCTTGGCATGCTTGGGGAATTGAATACATTGGCCCTGAATTAGATTATGAAAAATGTTGCCCATTTTTAAGCCAAAAGAATCTCCCCACAGACTTAAAATTAAAAGTAATAAACACAGAAGTTGCAGATATAGGAAACAGGAATTTTTTGTATTATTTCCGAGTAGTTACTACCAAGCTCTGTGTTGGAATATTTCACTTTGTACACAGCATGATTATAATTTTTATTCATTCTTCC